ATGCATTTCAATGACAAATAAGATGTGTATGAAATTGCTAACATTAACTAAACACTTATTTTACTCAAAGCATTTACTCAAATTTCAAAATATATTTATGCATTATGAAAGTGAAAGTGAAAGTGACGTGACATGTGGCCAAGTATGGTGACCCATACTAGGAATTAGTGCTCTGCATTTATCCCATCCTAAGTGCATACACACAGCAGTGAACACACACACACCGTGAACACACACCCGGAGCAGTGGGTAGCCATTTATGCTGCGGCGCCCGGGGAGCAGTTGGGGGTTTGGTGCCTTGCTCAAGGGCACCTCAGTCGTGGTATTGAAGGTGGAGAGAGCACTGTACATTCACTCCCCCCACCTACAATTCCTGCCGGTACGAGACTCGAACCCGCAACCTTTGGGTTACGAGTCCGACTTCCCCATTATGAATTGACTAAAAAAAAAGTTTTTGGAACCGATTGTGTTAATTGGCAAGCATACATGACATAATCTCAAAATGTTGGCATATTTTTCAATCTAGAGCTTGTTTAATGTCTCATTGTATGTACTGTACAATCAAGATTCCAAACCATCATAAGCCATGATTGATTAATATGTAACTGATCAGCACCTCTCTATCTAGTAGAATCCCATAGGATCCCATTCATCTAATGGAATGTTGAAATGAAATAACCTCCAGCTCTTTTCCCACCAGTGGCTTCTGTAATTGTGTTCCCGTTTCATCAGGCCATTTGATTTCTGGCCGTCCGTTCAAGGGATAGCAGAGGAGGGTGGCACATTCAGAAAAATGCTGCAGTCTTACCCTTTCCCAATAGCACTAGCATGTTGCTAAGAGACGGGGGTTGTCGAGAAGGCAAGACATCAGGAATATATATAGTGGAACTGTCAGCTGTCATGAGGAGTGACATCAGAGAGGGAGATAAACGCTGGTGACTGGGCCAGAGGGGGGTTCGGCAGATCAATAGATTAGACAGAGCAACCTGCCCAAATCTGCTGCATCCAGTGACGTTAACTAACTCCAGATTCATGATTTATGTTCTTAGCAAGCCATAAACCTCAGCTCATACACTTCTTGTTGACTTTGATTTGTAGACGAAAAGGAAAGTCATTGTTTCTTAGTTGGTCTGGGTTCTTTGTTCAACACTCTTGGGAGTAGTACATAATACCATACTGCATGGATGCTCGCATTACACAGTTCTGGAGCCACTTTTAGAAAATGCTGGGTGACCAGATGGCTTTAAACCTGACCAAATTTTTGCATCTAAATAAAATTCCCACAGATTGAAGTTTAAAAATGCTGCAAAAGGCATTCAAATTGATTAACATTGGTTATTAGGTGTGATGAACTAACAATGAACAGTGTTTTCACAGCATTTATTTTAAAATATGTTGAATTGTATGAATCAATTGTATGTTAATTTATAGTTTTTATTCATATTTTTAATTAGCATTTATTTTCATATTTTCAGTTTTTATTTTAACTTTAATTTTAGTGATTTAATGTGCTTTGTGCATTTTTATTAGTTTGTTTTATCATTTTTAATATTTCTGTCAGCTTTATTTTTTGTTTTAGTGTTTTTATTTGAACTTTATTTAACTTTTATTTAAAATGTATTGCAGTTGATTGCCAAAGCAACATTTCTCTTTTTTTTTATTTCATCTAATATTTATATTATTCTATTCCATATCAATTTTACTTACTGAAATTATGTCAGTAATAATTTTTAATTACTTCAATAATAGATAATAGTTTTAATACAGATTTTTAATTTTGGCTAACACTAACAACACTGTTATAAATTAACATTCGTTGATGTATTGAACGAACAGTTATATATACTGTGTGTATGTATATATATATATATATATATATTTTTTTTTTATATATACATTTTGGCCTAGATTAATAAATTATGTAAAAATCTGTTAGTTTATGATATTTAATGCTAGTGTTGATAAACTGAACCTTATTGTAAAATGTTTTTGTACCACAGTAATTAAAAAATTATAAATTGCAAAACATTAGTTATCCTTGCCTTCCTGCATGAATCCATCTAATCCATTCCTGCCTGTACTGAAAAAATAAATAAATAAATAGGATTTACTTTGAAACAATTGTCAGTTCTTACTTTAAATAAATTGTTAGTAAATTTTCACAAATAACTACAAACAAACAACAAGTAACACATTGAATTAAACATGAAATTTTCAAATATTTGAATGGTATGGTATTTTCTTAAAACATACTTCCGTAATGTTTATTCACAACTTTCAAAAATCATTTTTACAGTGTACCCGGTCAAAACCCCCTTCTGTTTTTTTGCTTGTATATTTGTATATGCATGCTTCTCATTTTTATTAGTCTTTTCCACATACTGGAACTATTTTAATAAACAACTTCAACTGCATGAACCCAACTGTGTTGTATCATATCATCATATATGAACGTGGTTTTGCGCAGCTTGTCAGTGAACAACGGCTCTGTGTAGTAAATGCTGCTCCATGTGAAAACACACACGTGATGGAGATTTACCGCTGATTACAGAACCCGCTTTACTAACAAGATGCGCATTAAATATCACATACGATTTATCGTGCAGCCCTACTGTGTTGTGTTCAGACTGCAGAATTCAATATTACTGCTCAAATGTCCTATTTATACAAAAACACTGGTCAGCCATGTGTGTGACCATCACTGGCTTGTTATCCATCCTCCATTGCTGCTGAGTCACACGTCTCCGGTGTATTTCATAACAAGAGCATCCACACACAAACAGAACATGCTTTGATAGCCACACTTAGCGCTGGCGGCCACCCTCTCAAATATACCAAGCACAGCAGAATAACAATAAGCATGAAAGCTGTTTCTGTAAATGAGAGTTTTGGATTGTTCAATACAATTCAACTACTGTAGCTCACTTTTTCACAGTATTTGAAAGCATATCTCTTTCATAGGACCTTGTTAACCAGCTTACATGCTAGCTAACCACTAATGAGACTCATTCTGAATGGACTTTGATCGTGAGGATATTAATATACCGGCTTTGTAGTCATGACAACATCGCCTTGTGCTGATGACTTATTTGTTAAGTGACACTCATTTTTGACCCCCTGCTGTTGTCCCCTCATGCAAGTAACTGACTGACTGTCATATTATTGTGGATTTGTTGCTTGTAGAGATTGTTTAAAGACTATTTTATGTTCTTGAATAATGCTGAATATTTATGTTAATTCTAAGATTAAACAGCACCTCAAAATTTACCCTAGAAATGGAAAACATCCCTGTAATGTGATTGTCTCACCACTAGAGAGAGCTGTTGCAGGACAGTCTTCTTACATTATGGGTGTGTCAAGATGGGCATCTGCAATTGAGCATCTGTCCATATGCTGTTTTCTCACACGTTCCCGCATCAACAAGCTTGTGATGTGTGGAGACGCTATGCACACATCAGTTCACACATTGATAGTCACGCAATCAGAGACATGGACCGAGCACTTAACAAAGGTCAGGAGGTGAAACTGAAGTTGTGCCCGTGCTAACATGCTTGTTGATGGGCTGCTGCTAGTTGAAGTGGATTAGACATGACATGATGAGAATAGCTTCCATGTTATGGAGAGCAGCAATCAAACAGGCACATTGGCAATCTTTCTGCTTCAGCTGGGTCCTTCACACCACGCTGAACACTCACAAGCTACAGATAGAAGACCTGCTGTGGAGAGAGACTCGGTCTAATATAGACATATCAAGGATCTGATGTGGGCAGGATCTTATAAAGACACTACTGTATGTATCAGTTAAAAAGCTTAGTTATTATAGTTTTGAATATTATTTTTTTATAGTTTTATTTTATTTATTTTTTTTTTGGCATTTTGCCTTTTTTATTGTGATAGGACAGTATTTAGACAGGAAGCGAAGTGGGAGAGAAAGAGGGGGGGCAGGATCGGGATAGGAACTCATTGCGCACAACAGCGCAAATATGTCGGCGCGCTGCCCACGAGGCTATTGGCGCAGACATTTTATTTTATTTTTTAAATGTTTGGACTGCCAAATTTCATGTTAACTAATATAAAATAACTCATAGCTGTGCGCATTGTTAGTAAATCACCCGCAGAATTTGTCCCTCCCATCGGCGCTTTTATGGAATTGTGCTCTAACGCTAATTTGCCCTGTTTATTAAATCTGGCCCATTGTGTATCGATTAGCATTCCTATTCATGTCAATGGCACTCACTCTCCAAGAAGTATGTACTACCATTTAAAACTGAGAAAAATATTACTTTTACTTAGCAAGAATGCATTAAATTGATCAACATTGCCAAAATATATTTATAATGTTCTTCCTATTTATCAAAGAAACCTGAAAAAAATGGTAACAGTTTCTACAAAAATATTAAGCAGCACAACTGTTTTCAAAACAGCATACTAGAATGATTTCTGAAGGATCATGTGACACTGAAGACTAGAGTAATGATGCTGAAAATTCAGCTTTGCCATCACAATACATTTTAAAATATATTAAAATATAAATCAGTTATTTTAAATCTTAATAATATGTCACAATATTAGTGTATTTTTGCTCGGATAAATGCAACTTGGGAGAACATAAGATTCTTCTTTCAAAAACATTTAAAAAATCTTACTGACCCCAAACGTTTGAACAGCGGTGATACAAGTTTTGTAGCAAATCAGCTCAATTGTCAATCATATTTGTGTATTCAACATATAAGTCTGAGTCAGCACAAATATTCAAAGACACTTGGTGGATATTTTAAACTCTAAACTTTAGAAACAGTGCTGCATTGCAGGGTACAGATTGGTCCTCAAACTGTCAAGCAAACTCCTCACCTTGGCACAGGTGCTGGATATTTATGCCTTTAAATAGCAAGTCAGCTTCTTTCAGAAGCAGGATATTGATCTAATTACCAAAATCCGCCTGCAGTCCCAAAATGCTCTCCTCTAATCTCCTTCTCTTCCTCTATTTTATTTCTTTGTAGTACCCTTGAGACAACATTCGACACCACTGTAACTACAGAAGTGAATGGTCGTGGCCTCCCTGCCCTTTCAAGCCGCTCCTCCCCAATGTCTTGGCGTCTCGGCCAAGCGTCGAGCCCCCGTCTTCAGGCCGGCGATGCTCCTAGCTACGCTACGCCCAGATCCAGTGCCAGCACCACTGCTCGCTATGGTGACCCCTCGAGGTTGTTATACACTGCCCCCCTGAGGAGAGCGGCCGCCTCAGGGGTTCGAGGGTCAGAGCCGGGAGAGAAGGGTGGGATTTCGGAGGCGGGGCCAGAGGTGGATGTGACCGGATACAGTAGCGATGGTGACATACTCGCCAAGAATGTACACGCAGATGATATCAGTGGGTAAGAAACTATGAAATTAGAAACCATGATGAAAAACAAACAGGGCCTTTTTTTTTTTACATATGAGATTCTTGTAGTTTAATCGGGTCAGTCGAACTATCAATCACTTTTTCTGTTGGCGTATGCAATGTTCACAAAGGGAAGGTTGTTCGAAAAAATTATGATCGATTTATAACATTTACACGCATTCCATCAGAGCAGAGAAGCAGTTACAGCTGTCTCCCAATATCCTTATGTGGGTGAGAAACACCATCATATGTCTCTGTTTGGAGGAATAGCTCAGGGTCACGTATACATCACTGTGCGATGCACTATTGCTTCTGCCCTTGCTGTCTCTATGCTGATGAATAGATGGAGAAAGAAAAATAACGCTAGAAATGAAGTCTATAAAAGACTGACTCACACGGGAACCGAAGTATTGATACTTGAACCTGAAGAAACTTGCATGAAAGTGATGGATTTGGGAATACTAAAAACACAATAAAGCTCCTGCAGTCAAAGCTGCAGGCAGTACATCAGCCTACAACAGCAATTAACTGAAGCATGATGCTAATTATCAGAACATTAATGTTTTTGCTGTTCTCTCATCTGTGACGTGTTTATAACTCACTGACTCACACCTAAGAGCATTAACACACTGTAAGTTAAAAATTATGCTCATATATACACACAGAGAAGTGTTGTTTTAGTATAATTTTTATATTTTGAATGTTTTATTTTATGTTTTCAGGTTTTTATTTTAATTTTAGTTTAAGTTTTAGTAATTTTGTGTGTTTTTTTCTTAAATTTTGTTTTTATTATTTCTTTTTCATTTTCATTTTATTCAAAAATATTTGTAATAGTTTTGGATTTGATACAACAACACTGACACAATGAAATGTATTTTGTTGTTGTTTTTAATATATAATTAAAAAATATATTACATTAAGAAAGGAATTTACCCAAAACTTAAACGTCACCGTCTTCCCATTCCAAACTGGAATTACATTTATATTTCTGAGGAATGAATGAATGAATGAATGAATACATAAATACATATATACATATATATACATAGTTCATAAAGCTCATGCACTGCAGTTTTTTTTTTTTTTTTTAAATCAAACAACTTTGTGTGAGAAACAGGCTGAAATTGAAGTCATCATTCACTGAATATCCCTGTCATAGCTCTTAAATATAATTTGTGCGTCTGCATAAACTTACAAGACGTGCAAGAACCAATAGCATTTGCCCACACTGAAAAACATGGTCAAATCTGGAAACAAAATTTGAGTAAATTATTCAATTGTATTTTTTTTTCTGGGTGAACTGTTTGTTTTCCCAAAAATATATAACCTATATATAACCTCACTTGATTTAAACCCACTTATATAACCCACGACAAATGCTCTCAGATAATAGTTGACTATTATTTTGTTGTTTAATCATAAGGTACCACACAGACGGAGGCCTTTACTTTCGGAATGTCGACCTCTACTCTCGAAATGTTGGACGCCCACCTGAGATGCCACCTGCTCGAGAGGTCGTTCAGAAAGGGGTCAAAGAGATGCAAGGGGAAGACAGGTAAGACCTCCTGTCATGAGTCAAACAAATAGAGTTCACCAATACATTTACTTCATTATTGATTGCAGCAAGTGTTTGTGGACACTTCCTGCAATATTCTAAATATGTACATTCACAATGCTAGCAGTTCTGTGTCTTTAGGCAGTAGAGTTAGTGGATTTCCACACATTTTAGGTCTCTGACAGGCTTTGAAACAGCCAAGTCCTGACGGGTTGAGAGGAAAGCTCATTTAAGAAAGTAAGAAGTTTTGACAAGATTTAAATGAATGTGTGACACTTTCCGTAACTGTGGGATATTGGCAAAATGTTCGAAAATGGAGTTCATTACATTGCTGGTCTCCTTCACTGTGTCATTTGATAATAGGAGGACGCATACATTTTTTAGCAGAAACTCTAATCTGAGTGATTTATATGAATGTAACACCATTTTGTGATGCCTAACTCTTTGAAGACTTTAACAGAGTTCAGATCAGGTGATGAATGAGATTCAGTGTTTGATGGACCTGATGTCACCTTTCTGTGATCAATGAGTTGCTTCCTGTCTTTGTCTGTGCTGTTTGAGAGCAGAGATTAATGACTGGGACGTGACTGTAACTGATGAGGTCCAGACAGTATCATAGCGGCCTGTCAGTCACATATAACCTGCATCTTGTCTGCTGTCAAACTAGGAGATGAGAACATCTTTTTAGTATCTGTATATAAACAAATCTTTGTTTTATGAGACTAAAATGCAATGCATATTTTGACAGAATTCATCTGTTGGATAGTTTCACATAGCTGGTGCAGTCAGCATAATGTCTCTTCCACTTAAAGGTGGGGTAATCGATTTCTGGTAGCCAATGTTGACATTTGAAATCACCAAAACAAACACGCCCCTACCCCAAAAGGGTCTCGCCCCTATTTTGATAGCTCCGCCCCACACATACGTACGCAACCCAGGCAACGATTAGTTCTGTGAAACAAAGCAAAACCAATGTTACACCGTGTCTACACTAGATATATATATACATATTTATGGTCTACACTGGATGTACACTTTATACCCGACAGAAAACTGCTGCTGGGTTCTATTCATGACGTATTGACACAAATTTCAAATGATTTTCAACGGTCGCTTTGCCGCGTCCAGTGTAGACAGACTTTAGCTGTTGCGGCGCAGAAACAAAGCAACCTCGGCGTCCGATCGCAGGCCTTCCGCTCCTTGAGTTCTCTCCAGCGCTGGAAAGCTGATCCGATATTTACACGGGTCCTACTTCTTGCCTTATGCCTTCTTTTGTTCCGCAGTCGTTTTCCTCTTTTGTTTTTTATCCGCCATCTCTATCTTTCTGTCGCTCGGCTCGGCTAATTTCCGTCCTGTGCACTGAACGCTCTCTCCTCCACATCATGAGTAGACACGCCCCTTACTGCTGATTGGCTACAAGTTTGTTTTGCTAGTCGGCCCGAATCAGTTTTCTAAAGCGTTTTTGAAAAATCGCTTACCCCACCTTTAAGAGCTTATTTGGGCCGAGAATTGCTTGATTATATATCAAGCAACCTTTTGGCCAACATCCATTAGTGACCAAACAACAGTGTTTACAAGACGTTTAGGGTCGTGCATATAAAACCGGATGTAATTCTGAGAACTAAATGATAATGTAAGTGTGCTAAACAATATGTTGTTTACTTTTTCCTAGTAGTCAAGCAAAGGATATTTTATTTATTTGTTCATTCATTCATTCTAGCTATAACCAGTACCAGTACGATTGCTAATTGTAAACTATTTTGCCTGTTTTAAAATAATAATCATAACCAATGTTCATTTAGTATAATTGAGATACTATTGTAATATTTTTATTTTTTATTTTTATATTTTTGTTAAAGTTTTTGTAATTTCATTGTGTGTTTTTGTCCTTTTTAGTATTTTTTATGTCTGTAAACATGTCTAATATTATTCATTTTATTTCAGTTTTAGTTTTATTTATGTTAGTACGTTGAGGTAAACTAAATTAAACTGAAAAATATTACCTTTGGAACTAGCTGTTTTTTATTTATTTATTATTATTATTTCATATTTTATTTATTTATTCATGTAACGTTTTTTTCCATTGCATTTTTAGTTTTAGTTAACTATAATAACCCTGATCATAACCATAACAACAACTAGTAGTAGTAGCAGTAGTATTACTATTAGTATTATTAAAATTTGAATACGATATGATCCGTGTACATTTCATTGAAAGTGCATGATGCAATGATGAAGCTTGGAGCTTATGATTTTGACAGCTTTAGCTATTTCTTTGCATTAGACAGTTCCGTCCATGGACTACCTGCTGCTTCGCTTGGAATTCTTGGCATTCAAGCTGTTTCCATTCCCCACCGGTGTCAAATGTTTTTCACAACCTAAAATCCAGTAAACTGCCAGAGCCTCGAGCCTCAGGGAGGCATCGTATTTTGGTCTTGCCTCCAGTAACAGTCAGTCATTCTATGGATGAGGATCAGCTGTGCTGAAGGTCCCCAGACTGAACCTCGCTCCCCAGACTAATGAACCCTACCTGTCCAGAGGGGATGTGACTGAGGTAAACTGTCAGCTCAGAGCCCCTGCGACTTTAGATTGGCATTGGGAAATTTCTCTCTCACTTTCTCTCCAATCCTGATAGCTTTCACTTGATTAGCATTTTATTTTAGTAGCAGCTCATTTATTTTACTGCTGTGAATGATTACTGAATGTTTAGTAGTCAGTACCTGTGTGTTTTATGGTTAGTATTTCACTGACCCCTGACTCCCTGACCAATTACCAGCTCTAATTGGCAAGATAAACATGATCCCTGTGCGCTTGTTCTCTGTGCGATGTGATGTTATAGGGTGAAGAGAGCAGAAGGTTCCAGAGGGACTCATTACAGTCGCTGCTTAATGTCGTTCCAAGTCCGAATCTGACTCTTCTCTACAAAGCACTGATAATCTGCAGCAAAAGCCATCACTTTGGTTCCTGCTGCAGAAATCTGAATAATACTGCAAATTAATAAAAACAAGACTAAGCTATGTGATAATATGCTGTTTTTAATATAAGTGGTGTTGCTAAGGATTATGGGTTAGTGATTTGATCAGACTCCTACTTATATTATATTATATTATATTATATTATATTATATTATATTATATTATATTATATTATATTATTATTAAGTGTCGAATGGGGATAACTTGTATTTTCTTCTAAAAATGTTGAATATACTT